ATGTTTTGTTTCAAAGAGACCAGAATTTCATCGCAAACCACACTTGAACGGCGTTACAGTCCAGATGAATTCAGGTAGTCATGAATTTCAACTCTCTCCCTTTATACACACACACACACAATACATAAACACACAACCCTCACACACACAAATTATTACTGTAGTCTGAAGACACTTTGATTAGGTACAAGGTGGAAGAGAAGAAGAATAAGTCTAAAGACGGCCCAGTTTGTCAGATGTAGACACTTTGTTTTGATGTGAAGCTTTTCGTGGATTTAAAATAAACGCGGTTACAACTGACCTGCTATCTCAGGTCATTCTAGCTTAAAAAGCAACCAGAAAATATCCTGCCAAGTAAGTGCAACCTGCGTGATTTTTATCACATAAACACATTTCAACAAAAATCACATATTGATGCCTCTAGATGTTCTGCTCATTATCTATGTTTTTGAAGACACATTATAATTTCATGTTTTTTTTTTTTAATAACAATCGCCGTCTTTGGACATTGGGCATCTTCATTCGTGCTTAGTCCTCCTATGCAGAGCCACTCCAGGATACCTCTACTGATTGTTCCGATAAGGAGTTGATTGTAGTATCTCCTGTCTTTACCTCTAAGTTGACATAGACTAGCTTCACCAAGCTTAACAATTGTTTTAGCAATAGAGATTTGTTAGTATACCCCTAGCTAGTCCGTACAGCATCAATTAAATCAGCTCTGTCCATGATTCTTCCCGTTTCCATTGTGCATTACTTGCCAGCTGGTCAGCTCTTTCATTGCCATTTACTTCTGCGTTCCCAGGTGTGAAGATCTAGATGATAGTGGTTATCTGCGTCTTCCAAATGTTTTCTACCCATTCAGAGTGTAGACTACCTGTAGTGATTTTCTGAAGCATGTTTATGGAGTCTGAAACGATTACCGCATGTGTGACAGCTTGCTCTGATACCCATGCGAGTGCTCTGGAAGCAGCGGTTATCTCCGTGGTCATGCTTGACATGGCTGTCTTGTAAGCGCCACTGTCCTCTTTTATTGTTATCCCCATCGGTTATACTGTGCATGCCTATGCTGATCTTGATACTCGCTTCAATGACTTATCTGTGTAAATGATAATGTCTTCTGGGCATGAATGCTGATCAGTCAGTGCCCTAATCTCGGCGTCTACGGTGGCAGGTATCTGACTCATTCCCGGTTATATGACAACCTCATGCATGTTTTCTGTTGTATCAACTAATTCTGTTCTGTGAAAACACTGTCACGAAACAACCATGAGCCCTATGCTTCCAAAAGTTGAGAATCACTGTGTGTGAAAATTTGTTTTCAAATGTGTGACGTCATATGGAGATCCAGGGGGACGACGGGAAGTCTGTATCCTCGCCTGGGGAAAAAGTCCGTTGCTGGACAATTCAATGTGTGTTCTCTGCAGCACAGTGTAGATGAAGTAGAAAAAGGGCACAGTGAACTGCGATGATGAATTAAACTGTTGGTCGGAGATCCATTCTTGGTATTGAAGAACTTGGCCTGTGATAATTCATGTCTATCTGTGATCTGATTTGTTGAATTTATTTATGTGTTATTTAATGGTTATTTTAAAATTCATCTGTTGAATGGACGCTTTCTCTTCTTAGATTTTGTGCAGACATCCTGAAAATTCTTAGAAGAGTAGTATATAATAATTCTTAAATATTCTGTTTTCTCACTCAATCCTTGGGTAGCATACCTAGGGGCATAAGTAAAGTGGTAAGAAAGCTAGCCCAGTATAACAATACGCAGGAGACAGTTGTCAACATGCTATGCTGCCTTATTCCAGTGGGGGTTTTAGCTAGTTATTGAGAGTTTGAAGGGACATCAATAACACTAATACACGGGCCACAACCTAACATGATACTTTCACTGAGTGGTGTGTCATTCTGTTCAGAAGTAACAGAAAGAGATGGCCATCACAAGACACCATTATATTTCTGTTGCCCAGCACTTGGTGACGGGACAAACAGCTATTTCGAAGATATTCATGAAATAACTATGAAATGCTTTCTAGATATTGTTCCAATGTTCGGCACTGAGATTAACACGTGCATATATGTTTGCTGTTCTAACTGCAGGGTCAATGGAGCTCTACAGAATCTTGAGGAATTTGCTACCACCTTCAGGTGTGCTCCTGGCACTCGAATGAATCCTGTCAACAAATGTAGAGTGTATTTTTAATTGTCCGCCCTTCTTGTCTGCATCACCGACTATTTTCAACTGGCTTTTCGTGCACAAGAATACACACACACACAAACAACAACAACAAAACAAAAACATAATTAAACAAAAAACAGAGAAATATTGATTGTAGTTGTCTCTAGTTGTTCTGGTGGATTCTATAATACGTTCTAAGCAGATAAAAAAAATGTGAATAAAACACACCAAAGTTACCCATCTGAGTAGACTAAGTTTGATATTTTTTTGTTCTTTGAACAGCCATTTTAAGTAAAATTAAATGTCTGTATGAGAGTCTTTTTTTTAAATTTCTTATTTGAACATCTCTGATGTTCTTTAGTTCGTTCCAAACAGTCTTCTCGTCAATTATAAATATGTACATATAATAGTTATGTCTACTTTATATATAGAAATGCTTGCCTGCCGGTGCAAAGGTTTTGAGTTCGAATCCCTGCGGGCGGGTTTAGAAAACTAAATTTCGCTCGAAAGTCGACCGCAGGGTAAAAGTAGTATGAGGAAAGATCGTGGGAAGTGAGGCGCAAATGTGTGATGTTAAAATAGCATACAGCCAGTAAACAAAGATATGGGTCTAGCATGACACGCCCCATGCGCCATCTCACACAACAAGCTAGGAAAGATGGAGACCGGCCTGTTCCTTACAGCGAGGCAAGCATCGCTTTAGAGACCCCGTGCTGTTAGCAGCGTCCTTTATATACATTTTGTGTGTGTGGAATGCAGATTCGTTGGGAAATGAACAAGCAGACAGATTGGTTGGTTCAGTACCATTGGGTGGGAAATGTATGTGTCGCGTGCGAATGTGCACTAGAACGCACCGGTACTGAGTGAGCAAATAAAACGTCAAAACAATACGTAACGTTGTGGAGGTATTGTTGTCAAATGCAGTTGATGTTTACAGTCCGAAGGAGACGAACATGTGGATCCCTGAGGACGCTTTACCCCGGGATCCCACGGAAGCAAACGTTGTATACAGTTGGATCCTTGAGGACGTTTTACCCCGGGAATCCAATATAGACCTCAGCAGAAAGCTGGTAGATTGACAAAGTTCGGCAGTAAGCCGGTATACCTTCATTACTTAATTCAGATTACTGTCTGGATCTCAAGGTCGGACTGCCACCTATCGTGAGGACATATCAGTCCATGAATGTACGAGCGGGCTTTTGTTGATATGCTTGAATGAATCTTGATTAGTAACTGCACATTTTCTCCTTGTGTTGATCATCGTTATTGTCAATACACAAATGGAACTTTTAAAGAGAGTTCTTGTTTCGCTACGTTTGGAAGCTTCAGCATTCATCATGTTGTGTGTGGCGCGGTGATTTATGTCACAGGCGTGAGGGGAAGTTAAGTCCAACATGATGTGTATAAGAAGATACTCCGTACGTCACTCGGGCGCCAGTCCTTCACTATCCTGGTTGTACGGAACCTCACGCAAGACCCCTACAGCACGTCCTCGTCGTGCGCCACGGATAATGTCTCAAATGAGCATTAACAGAGCTGTCAGGGGATCTCGGAGTTCGGCGGCCCCCAGAGGTGATGTGTCCTAGTGGCTCTCATCAGCCCGCCCCCAAACGCTTGGGTGAAAAATGTTATCAAAACTCATTAGGAACATGAGTAGGTTTGCCAAACGTACAGCCAAAATTACAACCCTTGGTTAAAAGACTGCGGAGTAAAGAGAACATTGTTCACTGCACATCCTCTGTTAACCCTCAGTGTCGTCGTCACCGTGCTGAGGTACACCACAACAGCAACCATCCATAAGCTGGCCATCCTTGTACATCCTTGGTTAACCCCCAGTGTCGTCGTCACCGCGCTGAGGTACACCACAACAGCAACCATCATTAGGCTGGCCATTCATGTACATCCTCGGTTAACCCTCAGTGTCGTCGTCAACGCGCTGAGGTACACCACAACAGCAACCATCCATTGGATGGCTAAGCCTAATTGTCCGACAAAACTAGATCATACGGATCAAAATCTGACCATCAAAATTTGTATTGAACTGAAAAAGACCGAATGTCCACACCCAAAGACCCCACTCGCCCGAGTGTTGGGACAAAACTGATAACGATATGCCTGATGCAGGATGTAAAATTCTTTCGGGCTAACGGCTCGTCAAAGAAATCTAACGTGCGAAGAAAAAAGAATGTACCTATCTGTGTGGTCACAAAAGTCCAAAACCCACGGGCTGCTCCCCGCTGACTTCCAGAGGGCGCAGCCCCTGTCGGGCGGGAGGCCTGATACGGTTGTGAGGTTAAGCAGGCATGTGCAGGACGTGACGATTCCTTGGGTGAGCCCAGAACCAGAGCGCCATGTGCCGGCTCTGCATGCATGGAAGCTTCCTTGGATGGCGGGAAATGCCCATGATCTGCCCCTGCCTTCCCTTGAGGGCTAACTGTTCCACAGGGGGCTGCCCCAAAGGGGTACTCCGAGGGCAATACCTGCGGCGAAGGGGACAAAGTGGACACCACACAAATCAGGCAACGTCACGACCCACACAAAACAATGGCCACAGTCAACCTAGAAATAGGCCTGACGTCTTCCTTCGAAGTCTGAGTACAGCTGCCCATGAGGCAGGGAAATGAAAAACGGTTGTACACGCAAAAATCAGGTCCAGGTGAAAGCCAAAAGTCCAAGCGGACGATTGTTGTTGTTGTTGTTGTTATCGATCCAGCGGCGCATGAGCTTTCGCCCTTTGGCCCAATGCCATGTATTGGAATTTGCATGTTTTCACAAGATCTGTCAGCTCTGTCATTACCTGGTGTGCCGGAGTGACCTGAATCCACTGCATCACTATTCTGATGTTGTATGAGGTAATAAGATGATCGGCATCCAGGATTATCTTGGCTATGTCAGTTCTGCAGCGTTCATTGCCCTCAGAGCTTGAAGGGCAGACATTGAATCTGTGAAGATGACAATATTTGGACCTTTGAGGGGTAAACATCCATTACAGTCTTTAGGTGGTATACTGCTGTTTCCAGTGCAATTATTTCAGCTTCATAGTTTGAACAGAATTCCCCGCATGCATCAAAAATCTCTTCAACAGATCCATCGGGATAACCTATGTAGATTCCGTAACCTGCTTTAATGGTAGCTTTAAATGCTGATCCATCAGTATAGACATGTATCCATTCTTGGGGGTAAGAATCAACGGTCTTTAGTGATGAGTTCATAAGAGCGATTGGGTCGGACTGTTTGGTTTCCTCGCCTACCAATTTAGTTTTGGACTTCTGGAGCTTTAAAGCGAGCATGTGGTGGTAGGTTTTTTGCAACATTCTGAATTCCTTGACGTCTTTCTGGGAGGTGGTATCTGTCCTGAATTTCATTTACACAGTGTAAAACCGATTTGTGCTTTATTCTTTGTTTGGATTCCCAGTTTTCTACAAGATGTCTATTAGGATGGTTACGATTTTTCCTAACGCATCTTTCATAAAATTCTAAAGTGGCTTTTTCTCTCCGCAACCCGAGGGGTTCCACATTTGTATGGATTTCACATGCAGCAGTTGGTGTAGACTGCATAGCTCCGCAGATTAATCGGAGGGCATTATTTTGTACTCTGTCAAGAGTCTCTAGGTTAGTTTTTGGAACAAGTTGTAAGCAGTGAGTTGTTGTACTCTATCACAGAGCGAACATATCCTAGGTATAAGCCCTCAGAGTTTCCTTGTCTGATCCCCATGATGTACCTGCAAGTCTCTTTAATAACTGTAACCGCCTCAATGCCTTATTCCTGATGTTTTCAATATGGTTCTTGAGGCTGAGCTGCGGGTCAAGTGTGACTCCAAGTATGTGGGATGCTCTTCTTTCATCACTTGGTGTTTGTCTAACCTCAGGTTAATATTCTTCCTTGCTACTTGGTGGCTTTGGTAAAGATTGTGTAGACCGTCTTTGCACAGTTAATCTTGAGTTTCCATCTTTGGCAGTAATCATGCAGTCTTATAAGGTCTCCATTCAGTCTTTGGGCTCCACTTTCCACATTTTCATGACTCTGCCATATTGCTAGGTCATCAGCGTACAAGGCTTTTTCGGCCTTGATTTGTTCTGGCAGGTCATTGATAAAGATTAGGAATAGTGTACAGCTCAATGATGAGCCTTGTGGCAAGCCCTCCTCCAAGACTTCTTTAGAAGAGATTGCGTTGTGCATCTTAGTCTGGATTGTTCTATCTATCAGGAAGTATTTCACCCAGTTATACAATCTGCCATGTATTCCTATGCTCATCATCTTCATCAGGAGACCTTTTCTCCATACTCTGTCATAGGCCTGCTGGAGGTCGACAAAGACTGCCACTGTGTGTTTCTTATTCTGGAAGCCATCATGTATTCTTTGTGTCAGTCTCAACAGCTGGTCTTCTGTGCAGCTGTTGGTTCTGAAGCCTGCCTGTTCATGAAGCGGACGATTAACCGGGACCTTCCACTGGAATTCACAGCCGGTGATCGATTAAAAAAAAAAAAAATCAAGTTGTGTTACTCTTGGCCAGTGGCATGTTAAGTGTTGATGTCATTTGTTACATTGCGACACACCTTGTCACTTTGGTACGCCGCACATCACCACGCAGCCTTTACAGCACGTCACACTGTAGCTCAAGCTTATGCCCGTCACAATGGTACGCACGTCACAGTATGCATGACAAGTTATATGTGATGAAGGCCCTTTGGGAGCTAGTGAACTATGCAGAGGCAAGAATAGATAGATGTTCATGGTCGGACATGGACAGACATGTAATTGAACTCCTACTGGCATCATCGGAACTGGAACTCTTTGCTGGCTGCGGAAGACGAGGGCGGGGCGCTTATGAGAATGTCTTAAGCGCTGTGATGTCAACTCTTTGCTGATCACTGATCCCCATGCGCCAATGGCTTATAAAAAAAACTCCTTTACCTTCTTATTCTTCTTTAAGTCCTCTTTTACTGCTTCGGGTGTGGAGGGAAATTTAAGGTCCTGCTTCGTGCTTTTTTGGCTACTTCCACGTTAGACACATCCAGGTACT